GAAATAAACTTGAAATTTCGTTCCGTTTGATCTGGATAAGACAAACACACAAACACACGTATACTTAGCTGGCAGAGATCGTATCGGAAAATTTGATTTTTTCACTGATCACCCTTCAGTTTGGTGCATTCTGAACTCAGTTTTATTAGATTCATCAAATCCTTCTGATAAAGATATTAGTAGTCAGTAATGAAGTTTGAGTAGTACAAAATGTTTATGATGATTTTGGTGAATTCGTCGGCCATATGCTTGCACAAATTAAGCATATTAACGACCTACATTAATCGATTGTGTTGAATCGACAACGGCAATGAATTGTGTGAAAGGATTAAGCATCTGAAGCAAAGCTCAACAGTTGGTTACCCATTCAGCATTTTCAGGCTGAATTCGACTCGTTACGGCCGTTCAGCTATCCGAATACAGATGTATTTTTACTGTGTTTCAATGTTATGTTACCGAGTACACTCAGATCGATCACAGATCATTGGATACCCGAAATTACACGATCATCACCTAATACACCCAGTGAGTTTTGTTTTTTTTTTAGTTTCGAAATATTCAGTTGTTATTGGCGATTTTCAAGTTTTGGTTTATTGTCTCTAAAGAAGTAGAAGTGGAACTACAGAGTGTGATTGTGTATGCCGATGCATAGCTAGTGACTGATCATATGATATGTTCAGTATTATCAGTAAGGATCTAGTGGGATGAATTTAATGCGCATTAGGGCGAGATATCCATGTATGGAGTATGTTTGCCGCAGATTATGCAAATGAGGTTTCAACAAACTCTGAATTGTGGGATTCTGAATGGATCAAGTAGATTTCACATGAATAACAAACGATTGTTCGTAACGTTCGGCAGCCTCTCACTAGATTGCTATTGGAGATTAGGCGTGAGCGAGGGATAACATCCATTTATGCATGGATGAATTCGATTTGTTTTTCTGGATTCACTAGAGTCCATGGAACAAAGGATTTCGTCATGCGTTTCCATTTGCAGTTGATCTTGTAGTTTATCTCCTGAAAGATTTATGCTGTGCGGTCTGGGTTTATGAATGATTCAGTCTTCAAAGGTGGAACCGAATGCCGTTCGAAACATTGAAATATTTCGAAACGGGATGGAATGCATCTCTAAATGAAACTGACCAGAGGGAATGTAAAAAGAAATAAATCTGTAAAGTGGGATTTCCTGACTCGTCCAACGGCACGGCACCACTTCCATAGATTTTATGGACGAATTCCATAGACATTCACATTCTCAAGTAGTACCCATGTTTTAACCCAATCAAATCCGACTTGTTTGTGCTATCGAAGAAATATTTATCTTACCTCTGCGAGATTGCTACTCAATCCCGGTGCTACATATTCATGAATTGATTGTTTCAGTAATATTAGTTGGCACTCAGTCCGATCTTCGCTCCAATATGCGACTCGTTGTAGAGTTATGTCGAAGAGGTGAACAACCCGTGAACGAATCAAAAGCGCGTTTATTAGCCGATGAATTTGGTGCTGATTATGTGGAATGCTCTGCCTTGACACAGTCCAACTTAAAAGAGGTCAGCACTTTTCTCATATGTGAACCACCTTTCACCATTTCCATAATGTTTCTTAAAATTCTGCACAAAAATTGTTCGTTCAGCCTTCGCTAATCTTTATTCACATTGAATCTCGCATGAAACAACGTTGATTACTTAATTTGTCACCCAGAAAGCTANATGCAGAGCAAATGAAGTCACTTCACAAATTCCCAAAAGTATTCGAAAGATCATTTCGAAATCGCTCCATTACGTTACGAGAATCAGTGCACATCCTCTAAACTTATCATAACATTTTTGTTATGCACACTGAATTTATGGTTCAAGTTTATCCACATGGCTTGCACTCGTTTCATTCTCACTGCAACAAAATGTCGAATCTTTCAGGTGTTTGATGCAGCAATATTGGCTGCATTACGAGGTAAATCCGCACAAATCCCAATGCAAAGGATTTGTCATAAAGACGAAAAGAAATCCAAATTTCGAGAAGGCATTCGACGCATTGTTACATTTACGAAACGACTCATTTGAAAACGTTTTACATCTGTTTAATTATGACCATAATTATTATTATTATTATTATCAATACTGTTGTTGTTATTGTGCTCTGAATTGTTCATTGACTTCGCCACTTTTTCTTTCGTTTCACTTCCATTTTTCTAATTGTAAGATATTCTCAAGCGTTTGCAACCATGAAACAATTTTACTTCCATTTGCACTTATTATTGTTTACTTCAAGTGTCAGCAAGCAAGAAAATGATCGATGGTATTTTTGAGTTAGATGCATTAGTTTAATTCCCCTTGACGAGTTAATTCCTCCAGTGAACATCACTTTTCATGTTACGAATGATTGAAGGACACACAGCTGCTAATGTATATTATTTCGAAGGAATTCAACGTTCTCCTCTAATGTTCATACGATATCGAAGCATTACTGCTGATGCATCATCCTTTTTATGGTGTTTTGAGATTAGATTCATCAATACGGGTACTTTTTTATTTGCACACATTTCACCGCGCATTCCACTCACACAAATGATCGAAACAATAGTGCTGTAAGCAATGCGAAAGGATATGTGGACGCATGAGGAATATCATCTGATTAATATAGCTGAATATATAATACAACGGTTGAAACATTCGGTGCTTTCTTTCTTTTTATGTTTTGTTTTTTAATTTTGAATGCAATTCATGTAATATTTTATTTATTTTACGTTTGAATTGTTGATATATAATATTAATCGTTATTGATGTGTACTATTGAAATGTGAAAATGATTGCTCGTTAATGCGTTCTCTGAAATGAAAACAAACAAAACGTTTTATTTCCATGCCAAACTTTCATCGTTTTAAGGCGTATTCAGCGAAGGTAACGACTCAAATGTGTACGTTCGTTTATACCTAGAGAGAAGTATATGAATAGAAGACTGCATTTGATTGAGAATTGCAATTGCACTGCCGACTTAAGATTTCGCAACAAAATCAGCTTTAATCGACTACCAGCAATCTGATGACTAGATGAATAGACCCATAAATAGTTCAGTCGAAATAAATGCCCAATTAATGTTGGTCCCAGAATTAAGATGAAGTGGATTAATAATAAGTTTATCGGGAAGATGCTATTAAATGAGGACTCATCATTGTTTAAGGTTTCGTATTCATACATCTCAGCAGTTGTATCATGTTGTAGCAAATCGCTTCGTATGTAGCATCTCTCCTTGACAAACCAATTGATTCGAAAACGCAAT